TCTAAGTAAGGATCCTTGGGGTACGCCGCTTGTGAGCACTTCCTCCTCGGATATGTAAGCGCCTACTTTGACACTAAATGTCCTCTGCGCACGAAAGCCCACTATCCACCTCCTGACTTGCCCATCTACTCCCAATAATTGCATCTTATACTCCAACAGATGGTGACTGACCGATTCAAATACCTTCAGATAGCATACCTCCACCGGTAGGCCCTCATCAGTTCTACGTGTGACCTCATCTAGGAACACCAGCAGATTTGTCAGACAAGATCGCTTTTCAAGAAATCCGTGCTGAGTTGATACCAATAGCCCGCTATTGACCATGTAGTGGTATATTTGTCTTTTAACTGGACGCTTCAAACACTTACATATTACTGATGTCTAACTTACGGGTCTGTAATTCCCGGCTTCTTGCCGGGATCCAGACTTGTGTATTGCCACTGTGGCTTTGCGCCAGTCGTTCGGGACAGTTCCCAGTCTAAGTGACTCTTTAAATAACTCCAAGATTGGTCCTACTATGACGTCAACCAGCGGTTGCACAACAGCTGGGTGAATTCCGTCAGGCATTGCCGCCTTGATCCTATTTAACCCTGCTAACTCCCGCTGCACATCCTGAATTTCCACAATGATTGTGGTATCGTGCAGTTACCTTCGATTGATGAGATTTTATCTGTCACCCTGGGGATTCTGTAAGTGACTTTGAAGAACCGTAACAGGATACGTGCTCTATCGCCTTCACTCACTGCTTACTCTCCGGTCGACGATTCTAGGGTACCAACCGTTTCCCGAGTGTTGCGCTTAGATTAAACATACGCGTAAAAACCCTTAGGATTTCGCTTGACGTTTTGCGCCAAGTTTCTCTCAAATTGGTATTTAGCCCCTCATTGCACTTTCTGTGCATAGTTGCGCGCTTGTTTGTAACCATTCCACGACGGATGGGTGCCATACAGTTTGTAGACCGTCCACTGTTTTCTAAAAATGGTTATAGCCCTATCTATATTTGCTTCCCAGTATGGACGTCCTGTCATTTGTTCTAAAGCGGGTGGCTTGACGCATGTTTTGTGTTAATGCGTGCTGATGTAGCCACTCTAAAAGCAGTCCACCCCCGGTACCTGCTGGTGCGCTGTCTATACTCCAGTTGATCTCGGGCATGTTGAGGTCTCCTACTAACAACACCCTTCTGGTAGTGGCAATCAATAATTGCAGCTGAGCAATCAATTCCTGATCTTCCGTCTCAATCACCTGCGGAGCCCGGTAGGCGCACATGGTGGCTAATGCGTTAGTCTATTTTAACTACGCAACTGATGGCTTGTATGTTGGGAGTCGCTAGGGCTGCTGCTGCCTCCCACTGCGTGTGATCTGATTTTATCATTATCATAACCCCGCCCCCTTGCCTGCCATCCACCCTATCTTGTCTATAAATCGTTTAGTCATCCATCCCCGGGGTGATATGGTGCTTCCGCATCCAGGATTCAGTTATGACCACTTTGTCTATGCCTGGGGTGCGCCGTCGCACCTCTCCCCACTTATCCCGTATACTGCAAGCATTGGTGTACCACAGTGAGACTGTGTCTGCCTGCACATGCCTGCTGGGTCGGGAGCTCATTTCTGGACGATCCTCGAGCGTAATGCCCGAGGAATTACCCCGTTCTTTTTGGGGGGAGGGGTGGTTACGGATGTGGTCGTGGCTACTTCTACTTCCCAAGTCATTCCACCTTTCTCCCTGGAAATGACTTTTATCTTCATTCCAAAAGCCTCCTCTATCCCCATAGGTACCTCCTCCTTCACTTTTGGAGTACTTTTGGAGTACTCCATTATAATGGGAGAGTTGGGGGCTGAGCAGCTATTGGGGATTTCGCTACTATTGTCACCCATGTGGCTGGTTCCTCACAGCTCTCCATGGCTTCCTTCTCCGGACTGGTAGCTGCAACCAAGTCCTTTGGTTGCAGTGCTCTGTCCTGCA